AGCTGCTGCAGCGTGAACCAACACATCGAGCAGCCCCCTGAGAAGCACCTCTACACGAAGCCTTACAACCAGCAGCAGTGTCTCACGGGTGTCATCGCGTAGCCTCACACCGAAAGGTCTTCCCGAAATGGTGCTCCCTTCTCCGAGGCCCGACGCACGTTCACGGGGCCGCAGGGCACGAGGGGCAACGCGCCGACGGGACTGGCCCGTGACACGACTGGCCCGTGCTGAGCACGGCCCTGCGCGCACGGACAGCGCTGCATGAGCTTGATCTCCTGGGAGAAAAAAGCCTCTCTCCGAGTCGACGGCGTCTTCTCTTGATGGTTTGAAAAAATAAAGAGCGCGTATAAAGAAAACCTTTAGTGATCTGAAAACAACAGTGATGATTTAAGTAAGTTTGGGTAGTAGAGGGGAATAAAAACAAAATTAGCAACTTTTCTGAATCATAAAATATTTAATAAGGTATATTTGGGGGGGAAATATATTGTATATAAAATTTCAGATCACAATATGAAGCTATTTGAACCCTCTCCAAGCTAGCACTGCCTTCAATGCTGTGTAGATGTATTGCCACTGATACAAGACCTACTAAAAGCATACAGTTTAACTAATACAGAAGTGGCTTTTTTCATATGAAATATTTTTTACACAACTAGAGTGTCTTGAATACCCTCTTTAAGTGCAAAAAACACAGATCACTTTACACTAATGCAGCAACAATGCATTCATATTGTTCTCATTAGTCATTAGTAGTCAACTTGCATAAGATACAAGAAAAAGCACAAGGAAGCTCACAAAAATAGACTAAAAATCAGCCTGTTCTTGCAAAAAAATACAGCATAATGGAAGAAAAAGACAAGAAAGGATTATGCACACCACAGAATTTGCTGTTCTTTAATCCAGCTGGCTTAAGTGCTGTTTCTGTTTTTTCCTTTTTTTTTTCTTTTTTTGTGGGTTTGTTTTGGTTTGTTTTTTTTTTGTTTTTTTTTTTTTTTTTTTTTTTCTTTTTTTTTTTTAAAACAGTAAATCAAACCACATGGACCAGGCACAACTAATATTCAGGAGGCAGTGTGTAGCTAAAACTTCACTGAACTTTTAATCATCCCCATGATTTTTTTTCCTCTGTCCTGAGGTAGTTACAAAAGCAAATCATAAACCAAGCATCAGCTAGGCCCGTTAGAGCTGAGGCTTTTTTTTTTTTTTTTTTTTTTCCTCTTTAACAACTATTTGTCAACTGGCCAAAAACTACCTTTGATGTTAAAAGACAGCTGAGAATTAGAGTTCCCACTACACAAAAATGGCTATGAGGGGAAGAGGGCTAGCTGCTTCAAAATGTGACAATATATTGAGTCCCATCCAGCTGGCTGGTCCACTGTCGCATTTCCCGTGTTCGTTCTCCTCTCTAGCTCTGTCTCTAGAGTCACTGGGAGAAGCCTGGAAGGGTCTGGGCCCATCATCGTCCTTTACTGTATCCCGGGAAGAACTGGTCCAGTAGTGTCTGCAGGACCTTGTTGGCGACCATGGTGTAGCCCTTCCCCAGGTCGTAGCGGCACGCGGGGCACGTGAAGACCTCAGCTCTGAAGGAGCGCTGCAAACAGCTCTAGGACGTGCAAAGACAAAGAAGCAGATGGTCAGAGCTTGGCTTTATCACCAGAAACTAAGGAATTGCTGTAAGAGCACAACACCAAGTCCTTGGGTGTCCTTATCTGCCCATAGGGTTAAAGTAACCTAGCAAAAGAACTCGGCTCTTGGCCAGGCTGCGAGCGCCCGCCCGGGAGGCTCTGGGATCAGACCTCTGCTCAGATTTCCCCTCCATTTCCATTAGTGCCTTCCGTGAATCAGCTACACCTGCAGGTTCTTTCTCATGCCCCTCGTAGCTTGCAGCAATATTTCACATCTGCAGTTCCAGTAGTGGCTACGTGTAAAGGCACAGGTTTTATCTAACAACCTGCATCTATCTCAGCTGGCACGATTCAGTTAATGCAGTTAGAGATATGCGGAATAATAATATTCATTACACTCAAAACAGTTTCCACAATGAGGGTGTCAGCACTGCCCTTTTCCTGTTAGCACAGGCTGCGGCAGACAGCTGAAGCAGGCAAATTTAATGTGAATAATTATTCAGAACACATATGTGCCTAAACAACAACACAATTTGACTAACAAACTATTCCCTAAAGCTTTAAAGCTTTGATTTTCTATTGATAAATTACTTACTAATAGCTTCAAATTCTGTGCTTTCCAGGTCCGTTGCCATTCAGCTTTCTCTTCTCTGTGTTTTTTTCAATTTTCATCACTCTAAATATTAACACCTTGCCAAACTTTGCCTCTGTGTAACGCTTGCCTCTATGCAACACTTCTCCTCTATGTACACCTATGTACACCTCCAGTGTTTTCGAAGGAGAATTCCTCCCCTCCCATGTGTGTGCATCAGATCTCTGCCCCTGCTTGTCAGGGCCCATCCTAACAACAAGGTGAGTTACAGAGGGTGCCCATTTACCTTCTGAAACAGTGAAGTTATGTCAGACACGGTACTAGGAGGGCAGTTAGATTTGCTCCTTGTAGGCTCTTAAAGGGAAACGCTGGATAGGAGAGGCACAGTTTAAGTATCCAGCTTTCAGGGAATAACTCTAGGCACTTGTGTGATAAAAATTAACTCTCCACAAATCGTATTCCAGACTCCTTATGTTGTTTTCCAATCATTCAAGATTTTAAAATATGCGACTTCTAAAATAATGCCTCTATTTAACATAGCTTCTTCACCCATCCTACTAAATATAAATTATGCGAAGAAAAGGCAAGATAAAAATGACATACACCTAAAAGCACAAGGTTTATTTTTTTATTTACTCTGTGTCTTTTCAACAATTCTTAATAAAACTGTAGGCAAAGTTTTTAAAATCTCTTTTTATTTCTTAGCCAGCAATCACTAAAGGCAAGCATGATATCTTTCTTCCTCATAATGCTTAGAAATAAATGTTTTTGTAAACTGCACTTTGGCTCTGGTCTGTGGTGTCGCAGAGCCAAACAAAAGTGCAGAGAGCGGCAGAGCTCATTCTTACTTTGCAGACGTTGTGGAGGCACTCTGTTGTCACTGGCTGGAAAACCAGCTCCTGGCAGCAGACACACATAAAGGATTGTTCCAGTTTCTTCAGAAAATTCTAATGTAGGGCAAAGGAATAAGAGAGTCAAACTCCATTAAAGGCACGCCCATGAATATGCAAGCAAAAATAAAAATAAAAGCATTTTTACCTTAAATAAGCTATGTTTTCAAACTACACTGCCTTACTGCTATAGCTACTACATACATTATTTACGAACTTACGTGCCAAATTCACACTGAGCTTTCAGACCTGACCTGAGAAATTAAGTTGGCCCTTTGAAAATCTGGCAAATACACATATAAACTCCTGAGACACTTGTATAACACAGCTGTTACCCTTCCACCAAACTTAGTGAGCAATGCATAAAAAAGACATTACATGAGTACTGGAAGCTGCGAAATTCAATGCACGATGTGGTCAGACAGCAGCTTTACCTTGCAAAGAGACTGCTTACACTGCAACTTTCCTACCGCCTCCGGGGCTCACTCCAGGTCTCAGGTTTCCTTCCAAAGAGCCTGCACAAGGCCTCAAGGGGCAGGTATTTCCTAAAAGCCTCTCAGGCCCTGCTCCTGCTCCTCCGCCCCCGCAGCGGCCGCGCAGCCCCTTCGCGGCACAGCTCGTGCACACGCTGCTTGTTCCACTAACACACCAAACTGCCAAAATTCCTCAAATCCTCCCTGTTCAAGAGGAGAAGGAAGAGTACCTTACGCTACTTTTGTTAAGAAAGTCACCTCTGCGGCTCCTGTGGTGGTTATGGGCTATGGCTACCTTTAACTGCTTCTTGTGTCCTCACTCTCCAATTTATCTGCATTAGGTAAAAGAACCTCCCTGGTTTTTCTGTCTTCTCTGAGCAGCTCTGAGGAATATCAGATTCATTTATATCATGTATTTTACACATACAAAGCATGCTTATCTCTGCTATGTCAGTGATCTGCAAATACCTAAAAAACACCAGTGAGGATATATATACACATACGTAGAAAGAAAAACAAACAAAAAAAAGGACAGACTTGTAATTACTAAAAATAGAGTACTGTGCAATGGTTTTAAAAATAACAGATATATCTTAAACTATACTTTCCAAAATGGAAAGGTGGTTGTTTCAAGCAAAAGGTTTGCATTTTCACTAAATCTACATTAAGCTTGCTCTCTGGTTCCCACTGCATTTAGGGTCAACCATACAGAACTTCTATCAAAATTATGTAGTAATTAACTACCTTTGAAATATTTTTTCTCTCCTTTTTTAGAAATACATCTCTCTATTGTCTTCCATCAGGTAACATTTTAAGAACAGATATTCTTTCTAACCAATTACAAACCCCAGGTAGTACACAGATAAAAAGGTAGTAGCTTTATAGAATTTTACTGTAACAACTTTACAGTATCAGCTCCTACACAAATAGAAGTGCAGTAGCTTTATAGCCAAGATAGCACTGCATATGCAAGAACATAAAATATTTATAGAAAGGTCTTTTTCTGTCACTGAAAAGCAAAAACAGCCAAAGCTGCATCTCAAATTAACAGATATCTATATTCATTTCTAGGCACCCATTTTCCAACTAATGACTTTTTTCTGAGTTGCTACTGACATTTGTCAAGTCACTTCATAACTTCCTTGTGCCTTCATTTTTTTATTCTGCAAAACATCTGAATTGACTGAACTTAGTACTGATAAGACTAGTAATCACTGAAGAACATAACATGTCCAGAGATACTACTTCTAAGCTTTTTTGTGCTAGTTTCTAGTGTCTTCAGTCTTGAACTACTCTTCCTATATTCCGGATGTGTAGGGGGAGGGAAGTTTTGTTTTTGTTTTTTGCTTCCTTATTTTCATTTTATATTTAAGTTTTAAAAGTTTGAAGATGACTATTCTTCCATCTCCTTGAGAAAAAAAAATATTTGCTGTCATTTCTGTCTAAAGAAAAGTAGTAATTGGAACCATCTTTCCATCTTTCCTCAGGTCTTACTTCTCTTGTCAACATTACACAAAAATATATTTAGAGAGAAAAATACATTACCTTCAAAATAAAAGCCAGTACTTTTTACATTAATATGGTGCTTTATGTGAGAAAAGTACTGTACTATGTGGGTGCAACCCTAGTCATCAGTAACAAACTCTACTGTTTCCCTGAAATCTGAATCCTGCAAAAAGAGTCTGATGCTAGAAAATAGCATATACTTAGCAAAAGCTCAGCCACCAAATTCAGTTTTAACAAAGGCTCAGATTTTTCCTTACACAACAAACCAAAGGTAAAAAACAAAAATTCAAGTATGCACCAAACATACTGGTCCTTCCTTTAGAGAAGCAAGTACTTCATCCCACAGTTTCTGGTTCATAGTGTCTTCTCTGATCAGCCACTGCTGCTCCTGGGTGAGCTGGAAAGCCTCTCCTTTCCCTCCATCGCCCATTCTCATGGCTTTGGGTGTATTGGTAGGTTCCTCTACACCTGCTTAAGACGAGACACAGTAACAACGAAGAGTTAGTCCAAACTAGCAGAAGGGAGAGACAAAACTGTTCCTAGAAGGCTAAAACATGGTCCACATCCATGTGATGCTAAAATAAAGTCCCTGCTGCAATGTGTAAGGTTAGTGTTATTTTGGACTGGAGCACAAAGCTGCACAGAAGACAGTTCATTTTTCTACACAGCTTAAATGAAAAGAAAAAGTCCTTAAATACAGTAAACAGAATCTTAAAGCCCCTTTCCACTACCTGGCTAATGAACATTTACTTAACCTTTTACATTTGTATTTCAAAAATCTTCCTGCTTCTGCTAGGTTTTTATGTTACTGGCTTATTAAACACAACATGACAGCCTTCACTGATGAACACTAAAAGGAAAAAAGAAATACCATCATCAATTGTCCTTTTCTGGTTTCCATTGCTCTGGTTGGTTGGCTCCTGTTTCACAGTTTGCTTTTTAACCTTATCTTTCTTCTCTTTGCTGGCCATGGCTTCCAAATAACCTTCTGGATACTAAAATAAAAAAATATATATTTGTTTGAAACAAAATCCATTGGCATACAGGAATTCCCAGGACTAACTTCTGAAGGACTCTAAAACCCCATGACTATGTATTGAACTAATTAAAAAAAAATTAAACTTATATGGAGAAGATAACTTTCAAATGAGTTGTAGACAAGTAAAAGGATCTGATCTGGAATGGACTGTATTAAAAGGAACCTGAAATCCCTATCTATGTCCTTCAGCTATAAAAATCAGCACACTACAGTTGAAGACAATGCCAAAACGAACTATTGGCCTTCTCAAGAAGGAAGAACTATGTTACTTCTTTCACTCTTTCACGGATTCTGCAATGGCCAGTTCTCCCGAGTGAGTTTATCACCCCCTGAAATACATTATCTACACAAATTACTCTCATGTACATAAAAGTACATACAAATACAGGGTTTGCATGAATTCTCAGAGAGGTCCCACTATTTCAAATGCTAACCATACAAAATGGGCATGGCATAAGGACTGCAAAAACAGACTCCAAGTCCGAATTTTATAATCCATATACAGAAAACAACGTAATGAATAATGGAAAATTTCATCCACAATTCCTTCTGGTTTGTAGTTATTATAGGATTTTTCTCATTTGCAGCTAATCTTGGGTGTTTTTTGTTTTTCATGCCACAATGAAGTAAAAGAAAAAGGTCTTGAATTTAACTCTGCTTCCTACTTCTGGAATTTGCCCTAAGACCCACGCTGTGAACACGGATTCTGACCTGCACACTCAGACCCAGTTTCTTCGACCTCTCCATTCCCTCCGACGTCCAAGGCGCAGGCTCAACGTCGTCTCTCCTCAGAAGGTAGCGCCAAACTAGAAATCCACATTTCCCAATTTCTGGCCAATATTTCACCACCTAAGCAACAATAAAAATAACAATCAATTTGTAGTGTATCACACAGCAGGATTTTTTAGAGCATTGTTTGAAACAGGATTTATGAGGTACTCCACAGAAGTCAGGATACCTTGTAAATGCCATCGTATCTGTTGCCTTCCTCTGGGGCATATTTGCTGATCCTGCGTCCCTTCGAGCTGCGTACTACTCTGACAGGCTTACCAGCTCTCCAGTTCTTAGACTCTGCTCCATTTTTATCATCCAGTGGGGCATCACAGTTAAGGGCCAAAGCTCTAAAAATACATTGAAAATCTTCATGAACTAGGTAGCTTCCTAGGTTTTATTGAGAATTCATAAAACAAAACATATTTATTTGTCTTGTCCCATTTTTATTAAGCACCATAAAAAAATTTACTGAAACTTCTTCAAGAAGTTTGATCACTTCTTGATCACTATGGAAGCAACACTATGGAAGCAACATGCTACCGTATGTGACAAAGAGAAAAAAGAAAAGACAGAGAAAGTAGAACACATATTTTTTTAAGTTTGCTTTTACAAAGGGAACATTTTTAAAATCTGCTTTGTGTCCCTGTTCCTTACTGTTTTATACATTGCAGATTATTGCAGATTACAGACTTGCACCATCATTGTGTTCACAGTGCCTTGCGTGTCTCGAACTGGGTCCTCATACAGTTACTGAACAAGGGTGTTTGCTTGTCCTTGAGTTAGCTCATGTCACTTAACTCCTATTCAGAGGCAGTTTACGGATTATGAGAAAGATTTCCATACTGATACTTCTTTGGGTGGCTACTCTATAGTTCTGACCCTGCATCATTTTTCATAATCATCAATACTGGGCACTAAGTGTAAAAACCTGCATTAATGTGGAACAATTAGAGAGGAAAATTGCACATTATACTTTTCTTCTAATTCCCTCAATGTTATTTAAGATTAAGAGGGGATTATTTTTTAAAATGAAGATTAAGACTGAAAAGATTCATTTGTTCTATTTATCTATATTACCTAAATTTTAATCTTGAGAATTGGCAATGAAATATCTAGACATTTGAAGAACAATTCTGATTCTACTAGGTGGAAAACAACAATCTTTTGCATTGGACATAAAAGTGCATGAGGATTCTGATGAAATTCAGTATCTGAAAGTGTCTTATATCCTGTGTGTATCAATTGCATTTGTTAAGAGTAGAGGGATGCTGAGTCCGATTTTCTCCTCTATTTCCAAAAGGAAATTTGCTCTGTCAATGAGAAATGCTTCTAAACCTATCGCTTAACCCACTTTCCACCTCCCCTCCCACTTTGTTCATGTCTCAGCCTCTGCTTCTCTCCCTTCCTCAACACTCAAGCCAGGTTTTTCCTCCTCTACATTAAGCACCACCAAGAACTTTATGAAGAGCCCTGCTTGGCTCTTAAAATTGCTGCTTGTCAGCAGCACATCACATCTAAATCCAGATCCGGGACAGAAAAGCTTTCTGTCAGCACTGACACCGCACAGGTAGTGGGTGGCCACATACATTAACATACAGACTATGCAGAAGGATGAAGAGCTCTTAGTTCAGAATAGGCTTTGTGAACAACACCATCATACTTTAAAAAGATGTGTGGTTTTTTTTTGCCTGCTTTGCCAAGCAACTATTTTGACTACAGTTAGGCAAAAGATCAACCCAGTTTATCAAGAACACCAAAATGTACATATTTAAGGCAAAGCAGTGCTCTAATTCCTTGAAAATTGGGGCAGAAACTGCTCTTGAAATGAGAAATATTTCTTTCATTACAGACAGATGAATCATCATCTTCATAGTTAACTTTAATTATTCCTTAAAAAATGGAAGAAATTAATAGAATTAAAAAAAAATCAACTGAACAAATCAAATGCATTAAGGTTAAATTTAAGCTGTTCATTTTGAAATATTCTTTGACTTTATCTCAAAACTTACCTGTTCATGTGTGTTAATGTCTGATCAAATGAATGCTCTCCAATTCTTTTATTGCCAGAAAGATCTCTACCTCCACTCCCAGTATAAGTGAATTCATCGCCTCGATCCTGTGTAAAAAGATTATCCTTGGTTTTAATACTCTAAATTAAAACAACTGATTTGAAAAAACACTGTTTCTTTGATTATATACACTCTGACAGAAAATGAAATAGTTCAAGACACTGCAAGATGTTTTCAGTTTCACCATCACTGTCCTTATGTGGTAGTTGTGTGAGCACAAAGCTACTGGTCTGAATGTAACATATTCACCAGAAAATTCTCATAAAAATATGCTGGCCTGTGAACATTTGTAACTTCTTAAACTTCACTTTTGTACACAGAATACTTCTAGGGGAAAGAAAACATTCTAGTTAGTGAATACATGCTCTGTAGTTCTGAATACAAGAATATAATGTTCGTTAAATACATAATATCTAACTTGGAGAGTTTGCTTCAGCTTGTGCAATATGTAGATGACCAACAAAGAACAGTTGTTTATGCTTAAACACAGGATGGCTTCTTTATTTTAGTAATATTTCCAGGTATTTTGAACTAGTAAGAGTTTAAACTTATTTACATTCAAATTTCATAAGCTGATACAATTTTGTGCTGTATTTCTCAAAACGAATTTATTGAAAGTGGTAGAAAGTTTGATGAAACTTTTTACCAGGAGCTTTAAGAATAAATGGAAATATACATCCACCTTAGTAAGCATAGTATTACTATTTCATCTTGGTAACATATCACAGACATTCACAGTATTTCTGGCAAATTCAAATACTCATAGAACCATCGAATGCTAAGGGACCTCTAGAGGTCATCTAGTCCAACCCCCCTGCACACGCAGGGTCAAAGATATACAATTACATGCCATATGGTAATCCTCAAAGATGCACAAAGCATGAAACAACAGCATAAGATGAATACCTAATAGGAAAATAATGCCTATATTTTTAATAGAAAAAAATCTAGACATAACACATGCTATGCATCAGCAAAATTCAGTCAATTTCTTAGCACTATTAAATGTTTAATACTATTAAGGAAATAATCCAAATCCACTACAAGACTGTAGTAGTACTATTTTATGAGTGACAACAACAGAACAAGACACAGAAAGAGAAATTTTGGCTGTATAAAGCCACAATGTAATTACAGATTTTATATTTATTTAATTCTGTGTAAGGAAAACAGAAATTCCACTGCAGAATTAAAGTATTCTCTCTCAAGATTTCTCTAGATATAACAAGCAAATGCTATGAAGCTGAAAAAGTACTGAAAACCTAACAATGATGTTGTATAAATTCTGGTATATCCGTTCCTGTAACACTCTATTACTGTTCAATGACTCTCCAAAAGCAGAAATATATAATCTTATAAGCAAACAACAGGTGAAACAATTTCCAAAGGATGAAAGACCAAAAGGACTAAAAACGTTTACTAACAAAGGACTTACTTAAAATAAATCGTACAAAATGCTGAGATGTAACAGAATTGAACAGATTTTTTTTTTCAGTGATCAGTAATTAAAGTCAGAGCAAATGCTGAGCACATAAAGATTGCAGGAATAACAACAATGGAAATACAGATTGGAAGGGTTATATCTGATGAATCAGGCCTATATAAAGATAAAAAATATAAATATATATGTATACACAGAACAGAATTTTAAAACTAAGTAGGAAGCAAGTGCAAAATTAAAAACACCCAAAAACATTTCCTCAGGAAAGTCATGACTCCAAGAAAGTTCTGGATTTTGTAACAAACGTGAAACTGAATATGTGCAAAACCAGCTATTTTTTCTTTTTATGTATAAAAAAAGTAAGCTGAAACTAGTAAGTGGTTTTACCTCTTTTTTTAAACACCCTTGAGAAAAATATTGGAATGCTATATAAAAGAATGTAAAAAATCTGGAGAGAAAACAAATAGAACATAAATTTTAGCAAACTCCGAAAATAGTTTACACAAAAGGAAAGGCTTTACATAAAGTGTTTTGATAAACGCTTAGACTATGAAAAAATGGATACAAGAATCACAGGAAGAAAATTCTTTTAACAGATTTTTTTTTGATGTAATCGACAAGCAAATATTAAGGACAAATAACTAAAGACTTAATCTTTAGAGCTATTGGAACACACTTCAGTGAAAAACAGACTAAATATAAGTGTTTTAAAAAGGTCAAATTTCTAAAGTCTCCATAGCAAGACGCATTGGTTCTCTTTAGCCAAAGACAGACACAAGATTATTGTGTCTAATAAACTGGATAGAAGGCCTTAAATACATACTCATTTCTTGCAGATAATTTCATTGATTAAATTTGCATCTCTAGCTATCAAATTCTTCCACACACAAAGAGGCAAAAAAAAATTATATGGACTATGGGCAAACTGGAAATCCAGAGGAAAGAAATTACGAGAGAAACAAAAAACTGCTATCTATATAGCAGAATTGGAGCTTCAAGCATAATTGTTAAAGTTAAAATAATTAGATAGTATCTGCTAACACTTCCCAGTGTAACAGCACCCTTTATCTCTTTTGTACTCAGCTTTCCAGAAAAACTTCACAGGTTGCACCCACTCAGATCTAACAGCAAATTAATAAAAAAAATAGCGTGGTGAACAATGACACACAGTTCTTGGAACAGGAGGAAACATCACAGAAAACCTGCTGCATGCAGAGCTAATTTTGATGAAGAGAAATAGGGAGGACACTTGAACCTCTCACATGAGAGCAACTCTTAGAAGAAAAAGAAGAAAACAACAGAGGAAAATACATAACTGGTAGCAGAGAGATGAAATCTAGAAAAGCAAGAAACAAGTTTGACCAGAAGATTGGAATCCTTATAGTGAAATAAATACAATTATAAATTACCTAGGACACATAAAAGCCAAGGGCAGATGTAAGACAGTAGGAATGAACTGGCAATCTACAAGACCTAATTCCACAGCGGTTTGTGGAAAAGACTGGAGCAGGTCAGGAACATTCGCAGAGCTAATTGTGGGTATCTGTGGGTGAGTAAAGATCCGTGGAAACAGCTGCTCAGTAGCTGTGACCTGTGACTCCACCGCAGACTGTGCTGCATCTTTCTTGCAGTGTTCTGGTTGACAGTCCGAGCGTGTCAGGTGGAGGCTGAATTCTGCTTATTCTGCTTTTTATCTCAGAGGATCACAGAACACAGCTTAAGACGCTGTAAATTCTGATCTAGCAGGTAAAGAAAACATCTGGCAAAGGAAAATACTGATGTCTGAATGTCCTTCTTTATGAAATATGAAAACAAAAATGCTATTAGAACACTTCTCTTTTTCTTCTCATCCTTTTTTTTTCCTTATTTTTTCCAATGTTCTTACCTTAAAATAGGAAATTCAGGCATTTCCAATTTCTCTATTTTCCAAAGCTTAATTCAATTTCTGCACCAAAACATTCTGACCACAGCTAGCAAGACCTTTTGTTATTCCGTCTTCATTTTTTCTGTACTTCTTTCTTTATCTTACATTGTCTCTAGAAAGTTACTTTTTAGCTGCCGTGTTTGTAAATTTTGTCCACATTCTAGCACTAATTGATAAGATATTGAGGCATTCCAATGGAAGATGAAACCAAAACTCTCTTACTAGTCAGCCTGAAACATATACGACAAGCAGAGAGTGCCACACAGCCACAAAGTGAATTTTCCATGCATCACTTTTTCAAACTTACTGACACAGTCAATCTTAAATTGAGCAAATACATACATCATAGATTGCAAAACTAAGATTGTAAATGCTTCACCACAGCATTTCAATGGGCTGTTTGTACACAAGAGTTGACAGGGACATTAACCACTGCAAGTTATTGGAATTTTAGCTATTGCAACATGGTTCCTTTTTTTTTTCTCTCTCTTTCCATGCAACACTTTTTTAGTTTTTATGCTCAAGTTTCAAACTTCAGTCCAAAAATACACAGAAAATTCCAGCTCTCAGTTAAGTAAAACATTCTGTTGGGGACACAGCGAGGAACAGCTCTTCTGTCCAAACAAAAATTAGTTTTATCATCTTTTTAGTAAAATAAACCTCACAAAATCTAGATGCATCAGTTTCATATAAGCAGGAGGTACTGAATAAAGGGTAAGGTATTAGTTAGTATGTCAAAGCAAAGAGCATCAAACCTTTTTAAAAACAGTTATTAAGACATGTTAAAATACCAGAATATTTTGTTTGAAAGGATCTTTCTTTCCTTCACAGCCAAAGGCCATTTGGCGTGACACCAAATCATTTCCTTGTTCTTCTCCGTAGACATGCAGAAGAACTGTATGAGTGTAAATGTTCATAGTATTGCTCTACCCGTCCAATTTTGAGATTTACTTTTGTCAGTTTCATGGCTTAGGTACCAAAAAAAAGGGAGTGTTAAATCATATGTTTCATTTATAAATCAATAAAACCAGTTTGTTCAAAGCTTGACATATCTCATTTGGGGTTTCTGGATTTTCATCCCATCCTTAACAGCAAAAGCCTTTCAGGACCATGGCATATTCCACAATGATAAAAACTTTTAAATTCTTTCACTGACAGCTCATCTAGATTTCCTCAGTTAAAAGAATTTTCAGGCTGCTTCAGAGTAGGAGATAGCAAGAAATGGCTAACTGGTGAGAAAGTTCTGTCAACATTTTGAAAAATGACTCCCCAGTCAAAGTACTAAAGAACTCTGGTACATGATCCACTTTTGGAAGTTTTTCTTTCTTCTCTCAGAGTTAAGTGCCAAAATGGTGAATGTCCAGACACTTAAAATAAACATTAACATGTAAGTTAATGCAGGATACTCTATCTGGGTTTACTGTGTTTCTGCTCCCAGAAGTGGAAAATCAGTATGTGGGAACTGTTTTGGAAGTCAAATCGGATACATCCAAAACATAATATGCAGAAAGCTATCTTCAGTTCAAAGACCTTTCTTCTTATTATTTTCTGTAATAGGAGAATGCATAGAAGATGGAACAACTGCACCAAGATGTAAACACAACAATATACAACATCCTCCAGTAATGGGTAACTCTTTGCTGAAGTTCACTGATACACCCTCTGTTTTGAGCACCAGGTGCCCTGCACTCTGTATGATGATTTTCTTTAGCCTAATATAATAACATTTAAAGTAAGACAGGAAAACCTTGCCTATCTCAAAAGACATGAGACCACAAGAGCCAAGTTTTATTAGTATTCATGTGAAAAATATACAAAATCCATCAAGAAAGCCCTGGTTTGTCCCAGAGTTGGCCCAAAGGAAAAGAAGAGTCGTGTAATTATGCTGGATCTTCAAAAGTTTATGAATGTAACGGAATGATCATATTCCATATACTACTATATTAATAGCTTGACTAAAGTTTCCTGAAAACATAGGTAATCCTTGAAAGAAAGAGCCTGAGTATGTTAAGCATTCTCAAAAAGAAGTAAAGTCCTTGATATAAGGTAGTCACAAATCCCAGGATGTTTCCTAGAAAGCATGTAGTATAAATAAATCATGGATGTGTGTAGTACGGACAGAGGTACCAAACCGACTTTGAAAGAAGTGGACAAGGAAAACTACTATGACAAACATAACACCATCAGGAAAAAGTGACAAAAAGGCTGTCTGTGGCAAAACAAAGCATTTCAGGATGCTAAAATAATCCTAAAAGATGCAGATACAGAGGAGAAAATGAGGTTTTGGAGAAGGAGACAAAGGATTTCAGAAGATGATGTAAGAAAGATGATTTTTCATGTGAGTAGTTCTTATGGACTGATGGTATGGAACAACAGAACAGGTGTAGTCAAGACATCTGGAAAACAGGAGTCGTCCTGTGAATCTGAAAGACCAGCAGAAGTAAGTATCCAGTATGATCCAACAAGCAAAAGCACTTAAAGAGGAAACAAACTTTGCTCAGGCTGAACTGACCACACCAAACAATTTACCATTTAGTAATACTAGTTCAAACCAGCAAGAATAATGGACCCCCAAATTCCTAAAACATCCTTTTACCCTTGCCTCATAAAAATAAACTAGAAAGCTACTTTTAACTCAAAAGTGAAATTTCTTCAGCTATTTGATTGGACGAACAGATGCATCAAAATACTTTAATTTGTAGTATTGTGATTGCACAATCATTTTTACTGGCTAAAATCGACTGCTCTGGATCCTTACAAATGTTTGCCTGTATTGAAATACTTCACAGATTTTAGATTCACGAAAAAATCCTCACAATTTCTTCAGGTGATGTTCCCATTGTGGTTACTATCAAGAACAAGGTCAAGAGCTTTGCAGTATTAACATGTCCGAGACTCTTAAACTAATCATTACAAATATTGTACTTTAAGTCAGGTAGCCAACAAAAATTGACCTTTTTTTGCTAAAATCCTAGGCTAAAAATATAAATAACTTCCAAAGGGACAGTATAAAAACGACAAGAAGTGGAAGCTGCACAGTGAACTTTATTTCTGCAGGATGTTTCTCCATTTATTTTTACCACAATGGTGAACTGTTAGTTTAAAGCCATAATAAGACCTCTGTGATGCAGCATGCTAGCAGTGTGCAAAAATAGTTTGAGAAAGAATGCAAACATACAGTAAAACACAGTTTTCCTCCAGTCTTTTTCTGTATTTCTCAGTCTTACTAAAACTTACACACAATTGATTATCATGCTACTAAAATTCAAGCACATATCCCCTCTCATATCTTGTTCTTATACAAGAAGTGATTACATGTGAGCAGAAGATTTTATTTCATTTTTTATTTAAAAGTTTCACTGAAGAATAGAGACACTGTGTTTAGGACAGTTGAAAGTGCAGGATAATACTTCTTAGCTGTTCTTTGAAGATTTTAGTATCAAACTCCTTCAAAAAAATGGAAGTAAGATGGGGAAAGAAAGGTGAAGGGGAAGGCAAGTGAAAAATGAATATCAAAATACACCTGTGGAAAATAAAAAAGAGTCTTTTCTAAGTCCTTAATTTACAGCACTGCAAAAAAAAATGACATTCATGCAGCTTTTTAGGGTAGCACCTCCAATTTTTCTCCCCAGCTCTGCTGCTTCAAAATTGTTGGAGTCATTAAGGCTATGGCATTACTTAAGTGTCCGAAAAAACACATGATCACAATATCACTTAGCTGGACCAGAAAATACAAGGATCCAAATAAGTTTATTAAATGTTACGGACTGAATAAGTTCAGCAGCAAAAACTAGGCTAACATTAGTATGACCACTGGTGAAAAAGAAAGGGAATCCGCAACATCCCTAACCAGCAGCTACAGCTACTGAGCAAGAGTGTTCTTGGCTAAAGCCCTGTAGCTTGGGTTGGAGTTGCCTCCAAGGGTGTAGGACTGAACCAACACCAAGAACCTCCTCACAAGACTTGTCCAACAAGAGACCAAGGCGCCTTCAGAGGCAATACCCTGCAGCAGCAGCAGCTGGTAGCGCTGCTGGCGAAGAATACACAGCATCCTGATGCTATTTGCTTTCCTTCTCCAATGCCCTGCTCTTTGTGATTAGCAGCTACCCATGTTTTCAAAAAAACAGGTTGCTTACTGCTTTATCCTTCATCTGAGGCATGATTCAAAATCCCACCTGATGGAATAGAACTGCAGGAAGCGACTTACCTTATGTAAAATATATAACTTGCAGACAATTACATTATCAGGTAATAACAATAATCAGATAATAATGATAAATGCAGATAATGAGAGTATAGTGAAATATAACTCCCCAGAACAATGTAAAATTCAGTTGTAATGGAGATATTTTGCTCGAGTATAAGAATGACAACATCCTTCAAGAGAAAATAGCTTAAATATTTTCCTTCAAAATACTAAGAACTACTGTGTTTGAAATAAGGAGTATATTTTGTATAGTCCTATTTACATAACCACTAATTTTGGTATCAGCAAACTTCTTTATAAAATTTAATGTTTTAGAATAGCAAAACAAAACTATGGTTTGGATAAATGACCTACCACTTCATCTTCAAATCCTCCAGCTAATACAAGCGAATAAGCTCCATCATTACTGCGTCCATGGATTCCACCTACGTGTGGTCTGTGAACACCTGCTTCGCTCACCTGCAAACAAGAAAAAAACAGCTTCCATTTTTTTTCCCAAACAATTGGCTATCTTCAATCACGTTTAAACATCAACCTTTTGTTCACACTTTCTTCTTCGGGGAAAAAAGGAAAAAAAAACAAAAAAAAACAGTGCATAATCTTTCCACAGCTTCTTTCAAACTCCCAAGTTATATTAAAGGAAAAAAAAATCATATCAAATTAATATTTGTACAAAAAGATGTTCTCCCATCCTCCTTGCTTTGTTCTTTTAGGTAGGTGATACTTAATACAATGATACCAGAACTAAGGTTCTCAGCACCAAAAAAGTTAAGATATTTGCTTAGAGCACTCCTTTGTACCCAGACATTCTATTTTCCTGATTCTGCATCTCCTGCACCTTTTCTCCCAACCTACACTTTTATGCAACCTCAGTAAAACCTTACATTCCTTTGCTATAGGTTTCTACTCTCATAACAATGCAGCAGACAAAACCAAAGGTCTAGCTGGCTAGAGATGTTACTTCTGACAACATTCAAAAGCAAACAGCTGTGCACAACATGAAAACTATGCAAGAATAGGGCAATATGCCCCTGCATAACTTCCCAGCTTCCAGCTGTCTGTAGTCAGGACTTCCTAAACTCCTGTAAACTTTGAATTCATTGTATCCAAGAGCAGAGCACACAATATTACTGTATGTCATATGAACAGCTACTGTTCATTCTGAATATGGCACCTGATCGTTTTGTTTGATCATTCCTCTTTTGCATCACAAAATCGAATTGTTTCCTAATTACTTCTTAAATTTGATTTGCTGTTTTTATCACTACTGAACACTGAGGCGGCATATTTTCAGTGACATCAGACAATATGAGGGTAACGAAATAAGGCTTTACACCTCAAAATCATATCAAATTAATATTTGCACGAAAAGATGTTGTCTTCCCATCCTCCTTGCTTTGTTCTTTCCCACCTCTTTGTATACTGGCATGTATTTGTATAAACGATAAGCAAAGTGCTTTGGGAAAAATTACCTCCTTCCTCTCCTGAAAGGATTTTTTTTCTGTAAGATTTGTTGCCAATCTAGTTCACTGTGGAGTTTAAGAACATGGGACAATGCAAGACAGAAAATGGGGCAGTGCAAGAAACAGAAATAACTCAGTAAACATCCGTAGCACTAGTAGTACTAGCGTGTGCTGGTTTAAGCCATTCATCAGCCTAAAATAAGATTCAGACATCACTTACGTATGATGAAAAAAGAACAGGTAGTACACAGATATAGTATAGCGATTTTAAAATCTACAGACTACATCTCCCAAGGCGATAATCAGTTCACATGAAGGAGAGTAATAAAATAATTGATTCCGTCACTAATTATCTCCCTTTGGATTCAAACATGTGAGATCTGTTCATCCTAACCACAACAGACCCTCCCTTAAGATATAGTTCAGAATTTAAAAATCCTACTTATTAAGTGGAATTGTAAAATCAGTATACTTTAACTTTGCCTAGAATTAGCATCCTTTCCAACATTACAATGCATTCCTTTATTTACGTCTGGTGAAAAGAACAATTATCCATAATCATTTTTGTGCCCAACCAACACCTACTATTCTCTTTTTCTATTTAGTTCTTGTTCTAGTTTTTCTTTTTCCTGTTAATGCTAGAACAACATACCTGAACTCTGAATTTCCAGGTTGTCCCAACAGGAACTCCAGGTATAGGTCCATAATGATTAGAAGGAACAATAGTGCATTCCTTAGTGCGACCAACACAGGCCATGCCCTAAAAACACAGCAGAGAGAATTAATTAGTTCTGAAAATATTCAAGGCTATTCGAAAAATCAGATGCACATACTAATAAATCTGATCATAACATATGCATACTTATATTAAAAACCGTTAACATCAAAGTTAATTATGTAATACAGATTTATGGCACTTCGGATTTTTTCCTTTTGTTTTACCTCTAGTCATCTTAACAATTCTTCAGCTGCTTTAACTTTCAGTAAATAGTGGGCAGGATTCGACATTGTTTTATAGTCTGTACAATCCAGTACTGAATTCTGTGTTGTGCATAAATAAGTATAATTACAGATGTAGCACATACATGAACAGTCAGAATAACAGCTATTTCTAAAATACACTCTACCTTGCCCCAGTCTCTCTGGCTTTCAGTACTGGCAGATGGCATCTTTGCTTTCTTTTTACTCTGTTTGAGCTTTTCTCCAGCCTTTACAACTTCATTAGAATCATTTTTGCAGGAAGGACAATACCTAAAAAAAGGTTTTAGTAAATTCTCAATTACTTCATAATAATGGCAATACATTCCTTGTAGCCAAAATAGTGTCAATTTGTTCACCCTGACTGAATATTTTCAAGCTAGCAAATATATACCATTTAAGCAACTGAGGCCTCAGATTGGAAAGATAAACTCAACAAGAACAAATACAAAAACAGGGCATTCCAATGTTCTGTTTGAAGGTAGAGTGTCAGAGGTAAAACATTTCACTGCTTTCTCACATGTTGTGTGAGAGGTCCCCATGTTTCCTGTACTCACTTTTCATAGCGTCCTCCTTCATTTAGATCATGTAAGGGAGATGACAACTTGATAACTGGGACTAGTGTGCCGCTAATCAACACTCTTGTTTCCACATCCTGCCCACTCTACCCCTGATTTTCTTCTACTGCACCAAGTATTCCTCTGGAATCCTTTGGACTGTGCAGTACTGGGAAGGCTCATTCCAGCTAATACGTAAATACCATCATAGGAGAGTGGGAGAGAGCAGTACACAGAGACTACACCACAGGGAGAAAGGCAGCACACTCATCCTTTTATGTTTTTCTAACAGCATTTTTATCCTGCTCCAAGAAAGGTAATGCAAAGGCAATTACACTTTTCTGGATTCTATGGGATGGGCTTGGCCCATAAGCCACTAGTGGAAGTCTTACCTACAACAGCACTCATAGTATGTTTAGATAACTGCTAGCACTACTACTGCTAGCACTACTGTTTGGGATAAATCAATTCGCTGTTGTATTTGAGTGTGAATAAAAGAATCAAAGGGCAATAAGCCACTGTGAAACAGATTTCACAATGATTGCTTGTGTATGGGTTTAAAAAGTAATCTAGAAGTATTCTAAAAATTGACAGAAAACAGACAATCATTTTTGGATCATGCCTGTTCAACTGAAAGGTAAAAACATCTGCCATTTTGAAGCTGACATTCCAGTTATGTTCCCTCCTGTTGATACATTATCATCATTAATAGAGACAGAATGAATCTGTTCAAAACCACGTCACCTCTGCTTCTTCAACACAATTATGCATCCGTAACTGAACAGCAATTTTGGGCTTTCTGTTAAATTTAATTAATAGTTCTGCTTTGATGACTTGACTCTGTAAGGTAAAATGTAAAAATATCTTTCTTACATGAAATATACACATGTATGGCTTTCCCAACCTAGAAGCTGCCACTGTCAGTTTTCCAAACAGTCATAATAAACGAAGTACCGAGCTTCCTTCAGAGGTTTAGAATATAATAAATCTGTCATATACAAGAGAGGTAGAGAGAGGTTTATAGAGGGAGAAGATTTGTAATAATAATGAAAAATAAAGTTACCGATAGTTGGATTCTTTGAGGTGTCGACCTATACACAGTAACCCTTGCAGGTATATATGTACCACTGTCACCAGAACCCCATTACTTTTTCACCTGGCAAAGACAGGTTTTATACATGATAATAAAAAGATGATGAAAGGTCATACGTCCATCAGTTTCTTTCAGTGTCTGGGGGTCTCCAGTGAAGAAAGCGAGGAAAATAAAGAAAGAGAGAGGGATCCCACAGTGCCTGTGGGCAAATTCAAACAGTCGGATGCTCTGAACAGTAATCTCCCTTACTCATTAGCACATTCAGAGATAATCGTATGACAAAACACAGATTGGTGTGTTGAGGTGAACAGGTTTTTCTGCTTCTCTAAATATATGGTTTCTTCATTTCTCCATAAGTGATATGGCATGGATGAAATTTAAGTGACTGCTCAACTCAGTAGGTATCTCTAATACTGAAGGGGATAATGTGTCCTGCTCTCCATGTGCAATTCCATCTGTGGGGGTCATAATAAATTTTAATCTCTCTTTACCCATAAGGAGGTCTCTGTATGCAGACCAGGTATCAGATGTCATGCTGTAAGACAAGAGCTGCCTCAGGGAATGAAAGGGAACGTGCTCATCCTATCGCCGAGGAAACTAGCAAGCTATCATGAAGCAACCTCAGCCAAAGAGTCCATCTCTTACTGACTCAACCCGTCTTCTAGTGAGAGTCCTGCAAACCTACTGAGAGAAGCTGCTGAGTTAAAAATTTAAGAGCAGAGGATGAGGAACTAAGAAGCTCATGCAGGAGTCTTTTCTGACAAAAGGTCCAGTATTTAGATGATAGCTCTTCAAAACACTGGATGAAGAAGGCCTAGAATTTTCCATGAGCATCTTATGAAACCAGCAACGTCTTATTTTTCACAAGATGAGTTCCCATTCCAGGACTTCTGGTTAAGCAAAAATAAGAAGTGTTGGTCCAAGTCCAAATTTCCAAGTCTCCCTCATAATTGCAATGTACAGACAGATTTATTGCCAGAAACTTACAGACAACATCAGTACTGAAGGTTTCAAAATGCCTTCTCCAGTGAATGCTGGCATCAAGAGGTTGTCTTTAGAAGCAGGAGAGATGCAATTTGTTTAAGCTGCTTCGTGCTTGTGTGAGTGTGCCAGAGCCAGCCTAGTGGGAGATGGCACAATAGATATATGAAGCTTGGTCCTGGGTAGAATTTTTTCAAAATCACATGCTGTCCAGCATATATGCCTTATATAAAGCAAATAACTTGAGCAAAATCTGGCTGCAGATACAAGTATACAGGTAGTATTAACTTAATGTCACGGCAAATTGACTTGCTGGAGTTACATATAAGGAGAGTACTGCTGCAGATTAAAAAATAGCTAATTCATCAATGGTTATGAAACAGGTTTATATAATATTATCTGAGGGTAATTTTGCACAGAGGGAAATTACTACAAAATTCTAAATGGATTTTATTAATGTTAATAAAAGTGTTTATACCATTATGATAATGAAATTAAATTTATAAAACAGAAATGAGAACTAATGCAAGATACCAAGATTCACTAACACTATACGATATTGCAGATGGTATGTCTGAAAAATGGCTGTAAATTAAGTCAAAACAACGAACATGACATAATGCAAACTCACAAGAAGGCAAATTTAAATTTGAAATTTCCTTCTTCATGACTGGGCAAGTAATTTATCTTATTTTTTTTTAAATTAGTTTTGTATGGGATAGTAAATACTGTTCAACATCCAGGCTCACTTCAACTCCCCAAAATTATTTATCAACATATCCCAAACTGCAGACCTGGCCCCTTCAGTGTCTTCCAAGTTTTACACGGTAAAAATGAACGTTTTTCCCTTCTAAGACAAAAAATATGTTACAAGATGTTAAGCACCAGGCTATGCCATGATCTTTTGCTAGTATGCAAGGAAAAAGGAAAAAAAAGACCTGAACTTTTCTATTATGAAACATTGCATTGCTCAGTATAATTGTAGTATTTTTACATAATATCGAACATTGAGATTGCACAGGGCTGGCATTTAATAAATATCCTAAAATTAACTGTCAGAAGATAATTCCATAACTGCACATTTCTCACCTAGCGACTTCATCCATAGCTCCAGCTATCTACTCACTTGAATATATCCTGAAGGTATTAGTTACATAGCAGACAAAATCAAGGTAAATAGCTTCAGAGGCTTTTTTCAAGACATTTAAATTATATCAGTTCAATTTTTAATACTCGTAGAGTTTCGTAATTTTTTAAGCATGAATATAAAGTGAAGTACTAAATTAAGTACTTAATGAAAAGACATTGTTGATCAGCTCAATTTTTATCTGGGACTCTACAGAACATAACCTTCTGTATGTCTGAAAACAATCCTAGGGATGTACGTAACATTTACAGTTAAACTACAGGAATAGTCTAGGGAGATTTCAGTGATAATTTCTACCCTTTGAAAAAATAACTGTTCTTCAAACTTTCTCTGTAGGTCTTTGAGATGGAAGTAGGGTAACTCAAAATAGTATCTCATAAGAAGCTCCTGAAAAAGAATAGGGGTCAGTGAGATTGGAACAGCAATAACTGACCTTTAAAATCAGGCCAAGATAATCCTAGCACTAAACAATGAACACTGGACAGATTTCATTATTCCTGATATAAAATCTGTTTTATGTTTGAGGATATAGAAGAAACCAGACAGAATGAAGTTTTTCTTGGAAGTAGAATGGGTTTTGTGGAAGGTGGGCACTGTTTTGGAGCACATGTATTCATACTATTAGAATTTAAACAGACTTTATGACTGTGGAAGTTCTGGTTTAGAGTTTGTTTTTTGGGGAGGTTTTTTGATTAAAATGCAACTGAAGAGGAATGAACAGATGTGTACTTTCAGAGGACAGATCTTAAATAATATTTGGTCTCACTGAATATTCTGAATGAAACAAGTCAAAGAAGAATTTCTCATCTGCTACATCTGAAGGTGAAGTGCATTCAAGTAAGAATATTGTTTAAGGACTGTAATTGACAATAAAAACCTTTGCTGCTGGGAAGGTTTTCCAACGCATGGCTTCAACTGACTGATGTTAACAATTGGTAAGAAGCAAGAAGATGTCATGCAGGGAAGACCAACCTGACCAGAGAACAGATAACCTGTGGATAACTACGATTCATGTGTTGCCTAATAAACACTGCTGAATAATCACTTGCATACACCATAAATGGAAAGCACATAGTTAACATTCAAATAAAACTTGTATTTAGTTCCAGTGAACCATATATACTTCCAGATGTACTGAAATATTTGCATCTGGATAACCTTTCATGTCAGCAGTTCCTCCTAGGATAGGAAATACAATTCTTCTCAATCCAGAAATTCCCTAAGAAAATTACCAATTGGCAACACAAGCACCCTTAAAGCTAAATCTATTGTGAGAATGACCTATGAATATTGACAGCCTCTACTGCTAAATTACACATTGGCATAAACTGAGAAGGAGCTTAAAAAAACAATTCCCAGTAAACTGGCAGAACATTAGGCACTATCTAAGAAACAAATGTATTTTTATGTTGCAGTCACTATGGTATAATAGACTTAATAGAATTATTTATTCCCAGAGAATTATTTATTCCCAGAGAATGATAAAACATTCAAAGAATTTAAACTAAAAAATATTTTTATTTGAAGTGTACAGTTCCACAAAATTAACCATGAAGTCCAAAGAGATTCCATTAAATGTATCCATAGGCATCTTAAACATTTACTGATGCTATGCTATCAAAATTCATTTCTAGTTATTCACTTATAAGGATTAGCATCTGGTATACCTTACAGGTAAGCTATAAATACAAATAGTGTAAGCTACAGATAACTAGTAGAGGTGAAAGATGGCAAAGAGCTATAGTCTAGCATGCTAAGGACCCCATGCAGATTTAGTTCAAAATAAAGTTATCTTAATATAACAATGTCTGTTAGCTTGATTTTGCTGTCCACAGGGACCAGGGCACTAGAAATGGAGAGCAGTAAAATGGTAGTTCTCTCAGCAGAGGAAATGAATTGGGCAACCACAAAATAAGAGAAGGACATGGGGGCACAGGTTGAAGGGCAAGAGAAAGGAAAGAAGATATAAAGCCAATTGTTCAAGCAATGAAGCTTGAGCAAAATTAAAAGGCCGAGGAACAATCACTTTAACTAAATATAAATCACATCAGATAGTGTCACAGAGGATCATAAAATGAATCTACTATTTTTTGAAACTCTATATAATGAAACTCATATATCATGATTTTTACTATGAATGATTTATGAATGATTTTGAAAAGTTATCTTAACAGACAATGTAAATGTTTACATAAAGTGGAGGGGTGAAAAACACACCAGAAGTACAAAAATTCTTCAGTAGTGTCTCTCTCTAGTTGCAAATAACAAAGGAGGTACCTTGTGTAGAATGGTAATATAGATAAGTAAATCATCCTTGTATATTTACCAGTCCTCATCTTCTGGTATCTTGCTTAAAGGAGGGTTCAGGCAGTATATATGATAAGCCATATTACATTCATCACACAGGAGCTGCATGTGAGCATCCTGTTTTCCACCACACAAATAACAAGAGCAAAAACGGCACTCCTTATCTGGATCAGCCCTACAGTGCTTGCATTCAGGGCCACTCTTGCCTGTCAGTAACAAAGAAAAAAGTCAAATGTCATATTTTAGAAAAGTGCATACTGTATCAACATGAAACAGTTCTTTCTAGTTATGAACACCGCTTGTTCTGAAAAAACATTCTTATTTTTTTTTTCATACAATGAATTATTTGACTATCTAGACTAATGGGATTTCTTCCTTTTTTTTTTTTCCCCACAGAAATGAAAACAACCAACCAGCAGGTTCTCTGATTCTCCCCATCTCCTGCATCCCATCTGCACGTTCTCCTTAGAGATCGAGCCTTGCACATTCCTTAATTGGAGTCTTCTCAAATACAGTTCAGAAGAAATGCTAACTAGGAAAAAAATAACAGTACAGTGAAGATCTAACTATGACTTCGAACAACTCTCTTCCCCTGCACATTAAATTTGAAGTGGATAGAAAAATTAATACTCCATGACCATAGACAATCCCAGACCACCAGTTGTTTCCCACTGTCTTTGTTAGATACAAACAAATGCTGACTTTCTGCTTCTGCACATTTGAGCCAAGGAAGCGCCCTCCACCCACCATAGAAAAGCCATTGGGAGCCATTGGCACTGGCTCCTAAACTAAGGAAAAATGCTTTACAGATGAGGAAGAACATTACATAGGTCAAATGAGGAGATACTGAAGAGGTGAGTGAAGGAAAAACACTTAGAAATAGCAGTGACCACTTACAGAGAAAAATGGAAGCACCTGGATGTTCAAAGGAACGAGAAGACTGAAGAGGAGAAACTGATCACAGATCAAAGAACTCAAACACTAAAAAAGAACTTCCATCTAAGTGTGCAGTGTGAAAACCAGCTAGAAAGGCCACAGAAGTGAATCTGAGTCAGAACTAGACAACATGATAAGTATCATACTATCCAAACTGCTTTGGAAATACTGTTCTGCCTGAAAGAAGGAACTGGCTTTGAATAAGACGACAAGGAGAAGCAGAAAACCCACTTGAGAGTTCGAGTTGGTAGGAAACTGAAGGATCAAGACACTAAAGGTAACAGTGAAGAAATCAGTAGCTGAGTTGTTCTTAAAGTTTGAGATATGGTTTAAAAAAAAGGTAATTAATTAATTACTTCAGTCTTAATAGAAAGTTTACAGTTTGATTTCTTGGCTTTCTGGACAAAACTACAAAATTTAATAATCTTACTTGGATGGACACACTTTTTTTCTGAAAATCTTTGATCAGATAATAAACATCAGAGTAGAGATTTCTTTTACAAGTTTGTTCTTGAATTAAAAAAAAAAGAGGTGACTTTCTCATGATTCCAGAAGAGCTCTGGATACTTCTGTATCTTTTCTATGTGTATGAAGAAGGAAAGTAATAATTTAACAGATAGGAGAAATCTCTGCCTCTTTCTGCTAAGGAAAAAAAACGGCATTCTCCCAACAGAAAAGACTTTACAGAAAATGCAGTAAAAATGTTTGAGAGTATCACAATCCTGAAAGTCTTATAAGAAAGAAGAACTACACAGCAAAGGTCTGTGCTTTATCTACAATCTTTCTGGACGGTCTTGAACAATACTCTGTTTTCACAAGTCATAGAGGTGCTAGAACACTGAAGTTTGTGTACGCCATCAGTACTGCTCGTTTAATGAAGCCTCATTAGCAAAAAAAGACAGACACTTAAAAAAAGAAAAATCTCACAGAATATTGTGCCTAATGAAGACTACCCTAGATCTTTCTGCATGCTGTGAGAAAGTCATCTGTTCTTCTGAGACTCTTCTTCAAGGTTTCATTGGAAGAGAAAGGAAACATCTGCAGACAAATGTGTACACGGTTGTTTCTGTGGTATTTCCAGGGAAGTTAGGCAAAGCTCAGAACCTGTCCTGAGCGTCAACATGAATTCAAGTCTAATCAGATTAAAGCTGGTCTTGCTTTGAAAAGATGTTTTAACTTATGACTGAGCCCTCCTTAGAGAACCTCAGTAGTCTACATCATCGGAAAACCTGCATGCAAAAATATATTTTTCTGTATATATCTTATCTCTGCAGGTTGTCTATAACTATGTGATTTACTTGTTTTCTGTTACAAAACTAGATTCTGGGGTCAAAGATTAGTAATAATATGTTTCTGGATTTTACTCTATGTACAAACAAAGTATCGACTGTTCAGGTTCATAACCTAACTTGAATTTTTCCAACTTCAGCCTTGAACTGCTTTAGTTAAATGGACTGACTACATCTGCACCATTTGTCAGAGACAGTCTGGGAACACCCCTACAAATACTGTAGAATTTAGTTGCCTAAATTATTTCATATTCTCTTCTTTTGCTAGGACAGTTGTATCACGTTTATAGTACAAATATTTATTCTGATTAGCTACAGTTGATGACTAACTCTTATTGATGTTTTGCATAAGACTTTGCAATATACTTTTGAGTTCTTAATTGAGTAGATTCTTAATTTTCTCTCTGCTTAACCATCATTCCTTCCCTGGGCTACAGAATTTTAATTAAATAATTTCAAACTGCCTACATTACTCTTAAATTTAACAGTTAAACAAATAATTACAACCCACATCTATTTTAATCTAATTTAATCATACAAAATTTAATTAAGATATTCTTTTAGTAATCTAAGAAAAGTAAATAATCGATGAAAAAAATGTTTTGAATTCATTTATATAAGTTTACATTTTTACTTTTAAAAATACTATGGCAAATGGTATTTGCTCCTTTAAAAAAGAGTCATTTCTTAGAAGAGCACAAACGAACTGTTAGCAGACTGGGTTTCTGCACTGACAGTGACACAAAAAGTTTCCAAAACACCTTTGCTTTAGATTATAAATCCAAATTATGAGAAGACTGCCTCATTTTTTAATTCAGTAATCAGTAGTGCTGGAGAGCAACCTCTTAGTGTCCTCATCATAAAACACATCTTATTACACATCTTCTAATTTTAATATACTGTTAAACTTATGATAAAAGTCACCCTACATTTTAGATAAACTAAGATCAGGTCCTCCTTTTGGTGGCATGAGATGATGATGGGAAGACACAGTGTCAAAAAAGGTCAGTCTAAATAGTACCTTTTTTTTTGATAGAACTAGCAGCTTTGTCTTGGAGATCCTTATCTTTATTCATTTTTAGATAGTGAGATGGTTAATGTACAGCATTACAGACTCAATCTGTCTCTGGCATTCATTATTTTATTAAAAGTTCAAGTAACATGTCAATTTTAAGAGTAGCTCTGGTGATCTGGAAACTTGCCTAAGAACTTGGCTGAGGTTGTTATCAGCTGTTTCCCGTTTGCCAGCTGAGGACTAATAGCACTGAAACAAGCGCTTTTTCTAAGCGTCTCATGTAGTAAAGTCATCTTGCAATAAAAATACTTTCAAAGCTGAAATCCAATAAGAATTCAATGTTATTGCTTTCTCAAACAGTATTAAATTACTACGTCAGCTTGTACTTTTTAAACAAACACCATCCAAATATTTATTTTATACTCCTATTTATATAATAATAAAGCATACTTTTGAAATCTCCATCCCCAAATGTCAGTGGATAAGCTCCCGGCTTTTCAATCTTGTACATTTCCTCTATAAAAAGGATTTTACAATCATTTATTGTGTCTTCTGGGCCTCTGAAAAATAAAAATAAAAGGAACATTAAACTTTGTTTCTCAAACTTCGTTTCTTATTAATCAAGAAATCCCACATGCAACGGGATATAGCTAACCAACATTTTACTCCCTAGCACCAGGATAGAACAGTTATTTCAATTCATCCAGAAAACTGAGTACAGTGCTGTAATATATAAAAACATAAAATATACACTTCACACAGGCATACAAGGAAGAGTACCTCATACACTTAGATTATCTGGCTGTCATGTCAGAGATCACAACTCATTATGTCCTTATTGACAGCATCCTGTAACACCATAATGCTATTTCTAAATCCTAAAATAGTTTCATTGGCTATGTATACAGCAAATTAGATTAAAAAGATCCTTGATTGCAACTTATCAAACATTAAATATTTCTACTGGCATAATTACAAAAGCAGACAGTCAAAAGCAAAATAGAATCATGATTTTTAAATGATACAATAATAGGCACTACTTGAAACCTTTAGAGGAAAAAAAGGCAATAGCAAAGATTTTCATAAATTCTTCACCAATAGAAGGTCTTTCAGAAGCCTTTCTTTGACTTCTGAAATGCTTTGAAAAACTAAAACAATCATACAGAGTCATGTACAACACGTGTTTTAATATACTGTCAGTCCTGTTAATACATTTTAAAGCAAAATCAAGGTCTCAGTGATAAGTAACAATACATCTTGATCAAAATATCCCAGTGCCAAAAGTTTTCTAAAGAAGGAGTGGGTAGCATCAAAACTACAGTAAAGGTGTTCACCACTCCCAATAGTTTCTTCGCATTTACTCAAGTTCTAATCCAAGTGAAATGGTACCTACAAAGCAAATGTCATAAAAACACTAACATTTCCAAAATGCTCCTCCCTCCTCAGCATGATATTGTGCCTTCCCCACTGCCTTTTCTCTTTTCATATTCAGTTTTCTACCTAACTCAAAATAAAGTAGGAACTTTCATTAAGACTAGGTGGACATATTTTATATTGAACATAGTCTCATTAACACTCTGACACAAGATAAATTAATTTACTTGCAAAAGATTTTTTTTTTCAGAGAGAACTAGCCACCAAAAAAATAGAGAAAAAAAGTATGAAGATTTTTGTCTACTGAATTTCTCTCTTCAAAAATTCCTTCAACTCATACATACACCTGCAGTCCTCTATTTTTGCCCATGCAAGTAGTCTGAAATCTGAAGTTACACAGCAATTAGATTAATAGAGATTATAAACACATCTTTAATTATTAAAGTGTAATATTTTACCAAGACTATGAAGTTTGCAGAGAAAATATCCAGTAAACCTCCTGCAACACCAGAAATAAAACAGATTTTTTTTTCTTCTTTGCCACATACAGACACTGGATGTGCTGGACATAAAAGAAAAGAATCAGCACACAATCAGTCTAATACCAAGTTAGAATACAGTAAGACTAAGAGGCTTTCTGAGTATTTATTGTAAATGAAAAAACAAATTAGTACACTGGTTATGGTTCAGTATTTGAAGGAAGTTATGTAAGGTTCTGCCAAAGGCAAAGCCCAGCTGCACCGTTACATGTGCCTCTTTACAAGCACAGAAAACATGAAAATGAATAATTGTAAAGTAATGATTAAATATAATGGTTAAAAATAATGGTTAAATATTGCCGAACTGCAGACTGATTTTGAGATGAAGATCACCAGTAAGATTAAAAAAAAAGAATACTTTCATATATTTAGGGTGTACACAGCCCAGAAAATATGATGTCAATAGGAATATAGGATGTCAATATAGGAATGATGTCAATAGATAGGGCTTCTTAGCCCTACTTATAGGAAATAATCAGAGAGATGACTACAAAATCCTTTTGAAGAAAGTAAATTAGGTCATGTACCTTTACTAAAAACTCATGGCTGCATACCTAAATCCAACCACAAACAGGTAGGGAGTAAGATATCCCTATTAAATAAGGATAAATACAATAACAAAAAAATCCCAATAGCTTACTGCCACCTGGGATCTGTGACTGAATACAGTCAGGTTCACAAATCTAAATGGAGAACTTTTTTCTATTACCTCAAGAAATGTGGGAGATAAATATACAAACATAATTCATTCACCAAAAGAAGTCTTGTATTAGTTCATCTAAATCTCATTACTGTCTCTACCCTATTATTACCATTACCGAAGAACTGTTTTACTATCAGAACAAACACCAGGCTTTCTTGTCACTGTAAATCCCATGCAGGTATGAGCAGTTACTCACTTCACCATCTATATTTTCAATCTTTTTTTTTTCCTCTCTCTGCTTCACCTTTTAGAGGGAAATAGTGCCTCATTGCTCACCATACAGTTAAACATCAAGTGCTAAGAAATTTTAAAGATTTGGTATATTAAAGAGAATGAACAATTATCCATGTAAATGTAGCAATGGAGAATAGTTCAATATAAATTGAGAACAGTTCACTTTCCTGAACCAGAAATCCTGATATTAGGATGATTTTCTTTTGTACACTAGGGGGCATTCTATAAAGCAGTTCTGTACATGGCAGAAAACACCCATCAGGTCTATTTAAGTTTCTGTATGATGCAGTGTCGCACATAAAGTCTGATTTTCTGCAACTCAGTCTGGATGAAATTGGATCAGAACTTTAGCTTCTGAAATAAAAAATTATGTCTCTAACAACATAAAATTATACTTCGAGACTCTAAATAGCACTAAATACAGCACTTAAGTTCTTCCAGCTGTCTTTTACTGCTTTTCAGCTATACTAGAAAAATGGCCCCTAAACAACTTCAGACAAAATCTGCAGGTTTAGCCTAAAATGAAATGGAATAATTTTTCATTTATAATAATGGAATTACTATAATTTTTCCATTTATAATAATGGAATTTTCCATTTATCTGGAAATTATGCCTGAAACAGACAGAAGAACACTACCCCAAACCACTACTCCTCTAACAGGACTGCAGGGACCACAGCTATTCTAAGGACAGCAAGACTAAGCTTTGCAGTGCATCAAGATTTCCATACTACTTTTTATCTGAAAGGTCTTTCTTAGCTCTCTTTTCCTTAGCCCAACAGCCCTCTACAGTTTTGGGGGGTTTTTTGTTTGCTTTGGGTTTTTTTTGGTTTTGTTTTTTTTTTACGTTTTAACTTCTGTGCTCTTCAGGTTTCTAAACCAAGGCAACAAGATACTTGATCTCCATCAGCACTAAACATCTAGCTAGTCTGTTGGGGTGTTCCTTTTCTATACCACTATTTACCTGTCCAGCATGATTCTTCCAGGACTTATTTCAAATATGAATAAATAGCATAATTTATTCAAATATGAATAAATATTTTAATATCTTTGCCTTATTTCTCTTATTTCTCTTAAATAGTGTTGTTTATCTGTTTTGAATACAAAGCAAGCTATAAAAAAATACATAAACATACCATAAACTTTAAGAATACCTAAATGGAAAAGTTAAAATAGTCACTGAAGTTGAATAATATGTTGGATAAGTACATAACTACATGTGCATTTAATTTAAAAATGCATGTTGCTTTAAAAAAGGAAAAGTTTCTCATCACATAATAAGTCACAGCTTTTAAACAAGACTAGAAACACTCAAAAGTTACGGTCACAAGTCAAAAGAAGGTTGTGTTACTGCAATCCACCTTTTTGGGGAACAAGACACACCTCAGCTCAGTAGATTATTTATTAGGAGTCAATTCCATTGGTAACAATTTATATTAATAAAATTACTTTTTAACTGTTTTTTTTTCTTTAAAACATCCAAAAATAGATTTTAAAGATACCTGAAAAGGTATGAGTGTTGACCACAAGTAAAATTATTTTATTAAGGAGAAGAAAAGAAAGATTTTGATTGCCCCTTTTATTATAAAAGACCAAGAAGTACAGAATAGCTGAGTTTGAGAGGGACTCCTGGAGATCATCTGATCCAACCCCTCTGTTCAAGGAGGGTCACCTAGACCAAGTTGCTCAGGACCTTGTCACATTTTCAGTATCTTCAAGGATGGATACAACCTATCTAGGCAACTTGTTCCAATGCTTCAATATCTTCAATACAGCAAAGAAGTGTTTTCGTCTGTTCAGTGGAAAATCCTATGCTTCAGTTTGTGTTTGTTGCCTTTCAACTTACAGCTGAACCCCACTGACAAGACTCTTGACTCCAACCTAACACCCTCTCTTCAGGTACTCACACACATCTCATATACATGTGATGTTTATCTTTTCCAGGCTGAACAGGACCAATACTCTCAGTACTTCTTCACAGGAGAAATAACCCAGCCCCTTTGTAGCCCTTTGCTGAACTTATCCCAGTAGCATCTGTATCTCTTCTACTGGGAAGCCCAAAATCAGGCACAGTTCTCCAGATGTGGCTTCATCAGGGCTGAGCAGAGGGCAGGATCCCCTCCCTCTACCTGCCAGCAATGCTCTGCCTGATGCATCCCAGGATGCCATTGGCCTTCTTGGCCACAAGGGCACACTGCTGACTCATGGTCACCTTGCTGTCCTTCAGGACCCTCAGGTCCCTCTCTGCAGAGCTGCTCTGCAGCAGGTCACCCCCCGCCTGTCCTGGTGCCTGGGCTTGCTCCTCCCCAGCAGCAAGACCCTGTGCTTGTCCTTGTTGCACTCCACGAGGTTCCTCTCTGCCCAGTTCTCCAGCCTGTCCAGGTCCCTCTGAAAGGCAGCACAGCCCTTGGATGTCTCAGCCACTCCTGCAACTTTGTATTATCAGCAAATTTGCTGAGGATCACTCTGTCCCCTCATCAAGGTCACTAGTGAGTAAGTTTAACAGGACTGGACGACGCATTGACCCTTGGTGTCACTAACCCCTCCAATTACACTTTGTACCACTAATCACCACCTTCTGCCCTATGCATTCAGTTTTGAATCCACTGTCTGGTCACCCAGCCCACATTTCATCAGCTTCTCTATGAGCATATGGTACACAGTGTCAAAAACTCTCCTAAAGTCAACATCCAATCTGCATCTACCAAGC